TAAACCAGATATAATTTTATAGTTTTGTATCTTCCGATGGTGAGGAGCATAAAATAGACAAAGCATGTGGTGGAAGAACTATGTTGTTTTCTGCTATAGGATAAATAAAATAATAATTAAACAAATAAATGATCAGTGTTAAAATAAATAAATGACATTGTGTTATTAATTCGTATCCTATAAATCTAGTTCCTCAGTGGGATAGCGGTAAGTCTATGGAGTTACAACGCTAAAATCCGGGGTTCGATTCGTTATTCACGATTAACATTAGGTGTTCCTGTTACCATATTAATGTTCAAGTAAGTATTGGAATGTTTTCCTCTAGACGATAACTAAACTCTTATTCCTCTTGTTTCATAATAAGAGCTCGATTATTAATCCATGCTTGTGATGTTGCATCTGCTTCTTCAGCTATTATTGACAAACGTTGAGTGATTATTTCAGATGGTAACCATGTTTTCTTAAACTGATTGCCAATTAAATCATTAGTAAGTTCTTTATAGTGAACAACCTAGTCTGCGTGGAGATCTAGGATTCTCTGAAAGAGTTCAGAAGTTCACGAATTCCTCTTCTGCAAAAATGTTCATGAAGTCCTATTTACGTAGTTGTCCTTGAGAGCTTCGTTAAGTTGGCCTGTAGCACTTTTAATGAAAGGTCAACGCCTTTCTTGTCGGACTATATATATGTAAAGACATATTACGAACTGCTGACTGGTGTAATTTAAACATTTTGTATGATGAAGGTTATATTTATTTTACTCAACGTATTGTTTCTACAACTTCTTCAAAAAGTAACCTACTACTTATACTCACATTCACGATGGGTAACAAACTGATATACTTTTAAATTTCTTCTGTAGACTATTGCTAGACTTGCAAAGCGTAAGAATTAAAAGAAGAAAAAATTATTATAATGGCCATACTGAGTCACGATTGATTTGTAAATCTTTGTTTTTTCCCCTCTAGTTAACTTCACTTTTCAAATCATTTAAATTATGTTCGCACAACAACATTGATGTCATTAGACATTGATGTTACTGTATATTTTTATCATCTTTTAAGGTTAACAATATTATCCGCATGACCTCACTCCATACTATCCATTGAACTATATAATAAATTTAGTAATGTATAGTCTGTTACGCATTGTAAGTCTAACAGTGTAAATAGGGGTCGCTGGTGAAGTAGAAACGAAAGGTTGAGTGAAATAATTAAATTCTTATTCTGGTGTTAGTGGTCTTTTCTCTTTCTTCTCATCATACAAGAAACGTAAACACAAGAATCACAAAACACATGTATCTTATACGAAATTTCACGACCATAAACTGAGCGCTGGAACGAATCTCTCCAAAGGCTTTAGACGAGAGTTGTAACGGAAAATGACCAAAAGTATCCACCGAAAGTGATAAAAAGTTTGCTCGTATTTGTTGCTTTATTCGTATTTGGATATGAACAACAATCAGAAACTAAGAGCAAAAAGAGAAAAATGATGAATATAACTTCATGAGTTTTGTTCTTGCAAACGATCTCTCACTAAACTGTGATAATGGCCTTAGCAACATCAGCTGTATTTGGTAAAGTATATTCACCGTTCACACACTTGACCAGACTTGACCTTTAACTATATTCTGTAACATGCTGACATAATTTCTGTCACATTTAATTCTTGTGTCTTTGTTTATTCGGCGCTTGACCAGTGAAAGTGGATTTTCTCGGGTTACCCCCGTTTACCACCACAACAAAGTCTAGGCATTGGATTTTTAGATCCTCCGCCGCTCTGATGGACCACAAGTCCTATAATGGCCGTTGGATAGCAAAAAAGTGATACAACTTAAAACTTCAAGCATGTCAAAATACCGAATTTCAGAGTATAATCTCACACACATAGCATGACTGAGACAAAGAAAAACTGTCGTTGCTGAGTGTCCCAGGTTGTCTTTCGAGGTTTAGCGAAACAAGAACCACTTTAAAAACAAACAAACTAACTTTGTAACGATATATAAACCTTGTATTGCTTGGTACTAATCATACCTGTAGAAGACAGACCAATGTTCTGTTGAAACATGTAGTATGTTCCATCATCAATAAAACCTTTCCTTGTGCTTGTAAATCTTTGTTTACCTACTTATTGATATGCTGTCCAACCATCCTGGGCACGTGAATGTGCTGAAACTTGTACCGGAGTCCTTGTGAAGTTTTTATCAAAGTTTCACACAATAATGATAGAAAAACAATACACCTATAGTTACAAATATTGTTCCTCACAGTATAAAACCTATTCAATGATGTAATTAAAGAAACTACAACCTAAAAGCTGACTAATAACCTAGATTTCAAGACGTAACGTACAAACGGAATAATATAATAGTTAGAATGTCTAACAAAACAAGGCTCCAACATTTAAGGCGTCTTTTAGATAACGTAGTTAATAAAACTACACACAGGTATTTAGAAAGGTCAACTCTTGACGTTTAACAGATTTACGCGAATATGGTTAATAAGTTACAGAATAAGAGAAAACAAAGTATTAGATTATAAAACCGGAACAAATCTACCTGACTGGCCTAGGTTACAGAAGCACACAGAGGCAGGTGAAAAGATTTTTTTAAAAATTAACAGCTAATAAATCTTCACTAAGTACCATATAAAAGCCATGCCATAGTTAAAAAAAAAACTTCATTGCCTGTTAAAAAGAACTTTAACAATTCAAATCTACAGGATGACGTGGTTAACAAAACTACTCAATCCAGTTAAAAAGAACTATTATAACAGTGACGTAAAGGATACTGTAATTAAGTTACAAACTATAAAACGGAAGTTAATAACACTTCAGGGACATTAGAAAGGGGTGCGTTCATCTCACCCCCCCCCCCATTTCCCTCGGTATCATTTTTTTTTTATGAAATAATGAAAATACACATCCAACTCTATTTAATAAAAATCACTCCATGTACAGCAAAGTACGATTTAGTACAAAGTACATTATATGATTGATGAATGTGCCCTTTACACAGTAAGATTTGATGAGAAAATTAACTAAAATATATTAATGATAGTCAAGGGTTTCTTTAATGACAAACAGGAAAGTGCCCCTTGACATCATTAGAGTGGTCCTGGACTATTATCAGAAGGGGCTCTAATTATCATCAGAAGGCTCCTTCTACACTGAGTGTCAGAATCCAAACACTCTCATTAAAATAGAAAAATAATAGTCAACGTTTCATAAGCATAAAAATGAATAATACCAGTACCGTAGCCACTATTAGGCACATGAGGCACGTGCATCGTCGTTTTTTGGCAAAGGACCCGTTTCTGTTCCATGATATTAAATCTACAAAAATTCGTCGCGAAAAGAAATGAACAGGAAGAGCAAAACGACAATTTCACTGCCAACGAATTTACGTAATGAAGTGGTTAACAGAACTTTGCGATAACATTTCATAAAACTTACATTCTAAGAGTTAACAACTTTTTAGGGTTAACAAATATAT